GGTTGTTTGGCTTAAAATAAAATCTTACGGACCGCAGTAATGAATTGCCACTCTTAGCTGATTAACATGTTAATTTAAGTTAATGAAACAACATAATCTATCAGGTCTGCTGTTTAATAAACGGGAACGGAAGCGTTCTGTTGTGTGTTACAGTGCATGCAAATACATTATAAACTTAATAAAAATAAATAAAAAAATGTCTTTGATGAGTTACAAATACGATCTCTGTCCTTTGCCTAATAAGGCATCAAGTGACGTAGCGTGGGTCGAGATATTGAAGGGGGCATTGGCATCATAGAGTGAGGGGGTGCACCCAATTTACTCGGTGGATTAAGAGCAATGTGATGTCATCAATAGTTATGGTGAGCGTATGGTGGGTTATTCTACTCTTTACTCGTTTCCCTCTCCTTTCTCTTGTTTCCTTTCACCCTTCCTTCTCCCCCTTCTTTTCTCTTCTGCCTTTTTACTAAGGGGGCACGTGTCCGCTGTTCCGCCCTGTAGGTACTCCACTCAGGCTCTGTTCTAGACGAAAATCCCCTTTTTGTGGGGGTGGCTGTAGAGCCCACAAATGTAAAATTCCACTACAAAAAATTATAAAGTTACCACAAATGACAAAAGTGAAAACATTTCACCCGCAAGTGCAAAAATAAAAACAAATTTAATAACTTGTCAACCACAAATGTAAATAAAAAACGAAAAATATTTCGCCTACAAAATTAATGTAAAAAGTGGATGAGTGGATACGTCGCCGGACCGTCGATCACAAGGTCCACGGTTCGAGTCCCGACACGGCACTAATGTCCTTTGGCAAGACATTGATCTACATTTGTCACTCTCCACCCAGGTGTTTAATGGGTACCGGTAGGAAGGAATTCCTTTAAATGCTGTGAGCGTCGAAATCGGCAGCCTAGCATAGCCGGGTAATGTTGGAGCGCCTTGAGGACCTTGCAAGGTCGATACGTGCGCTATATAAGAATCCAATATTATTATTATCATTAACCGTTAAATTAGTAACCCATTACTTTTGTAATATTAGTACTAATTTCTATATTTCTTGTTTATTCTTTCAAATGATATGTAAGACAACAAAAAAGATCAATAAATGACGCACGACTGATGACAGACATTCTGAATTGGCTGTGTCGGAAACCATTATGGTGCGTCATTAGTCAATTCGAATTTTTTTTTTTTTTTTTTTTTTTTTGGGGGGGGGGGGGGGTTGGGGGGTTGGCATAGGTTTAACTCTAAATATGAAATAAGAATTTACAAGGTTAGTGATTAAGTGGATTTTATGGTTCAGGCGTGTTCGTTTTGATTTCTGTCACCCTCTCTCTATCACTTTCTTTCTTTTCTGGCTTTTTTGGGTAGTCATTGGATGGGATACGAACCCTCGTGTCCACTGTTACTACTGTACCATTATACATCACTGTTTTGTACATGTGAGTATGTATTAGACCTTTGGTTTTTCACTTTTCTTATCCATGTTTTTCCCCCTGTGTTATTTTTTTCACAAGCCTGCCGCTCAAACCCTTGTTTGAATGGAGGCAATTGCAAGGAGACGGACACAGGATTTACTTGTCTCTGTTTAGGTGGCTACCGTGGTGAAAGATGTGCAGGTAAGTGAGACAAAGGGAGGTGCACTTTTTGTTGGTATGGGGGTAGGGGGGCCCTTGTACAGCCAGGAAATCCTGAGGAGAGCGAGCAGGGCAAGATAAGAGGGCTAGCATGTTTTTTGTTGTTGTTAAGGTCTTGATGGAAGGTGTGAGGAGTGTCAGTTAAAAAGAGGCATACGCAGAGTTTTTTGTTTAAGAGGGGATGGGGGAGATGCAAACCCTTGTTGAATCATCTACATGCACATGAGGACACTTTTTTTTTTTTTAGTCCCCAAAAAATCGCAACGACTATAAAGCCAGTAAGAGTAGGTATAGCACACCAAAAATAAGTACAACAAACACATGTTATTTGATGATTGCAAATGATCGGGCTTCATGAAAGCTTCAAAAAACAAAAAAACAAAATTTAAATCGGTCAATGCGTTGTGATTTTATACCATTTGTTTGATATCGCAAAATTACCGAAAAACCTGCCAGAAATGGTCAAATTGGCAAAAAAGGCAAAATTCGACAAAGTTAACAATTTAATTCATCACTTTCTTGGACACGAATAATAATTTAAATTATCAGACACCAAAATATCATCTTTGTGGTAAAAAATACAAAAAAAGAAAATTCATATATCTATTACCGTTTTGAAAACAGAAGAAAACAAAATAAGCCATTTTTGCCATTTTTGCGAATCTGCAGATATGAAAAAGTGGTGAAAATAACTAAGTCCACCTAATTAATATGCGCATATGAAATCAAATCAAAACCGAACATGATATATCAGTGAAACCTATGTAAATCAGACAGGTATGGAAATAATTTTTTTAAAGAAATTTTGTTTCATGAATATTCATCAAATATGCAAATTAGGTCATTTCAGCTAATTATATATAAGTCAAACTGTTCATTTTGTTGTCATTTTTTTAAATCATATATTTATAGATCATATTTACACCAAATATTAACATTAAATTCCAAATATTTTCGCAATGCCAATAAAATATGGCGATGGAAATTACTTGAATCACCGTTACAGCTATTTCCTCATATGTTTCACAAATTATTCAGAAAAAACAGATCAAATAATAAGAATTTGCAGACTTTTAGCTACATTACAGTATATTTTTCGAGGATTTATGACGATTTTCCGAGAAACCATTCAACAGGCCATAACATTCCACAATGACTGAATTTTAGAGAAAAACAAAGTTTTGGTGATCCAAGTACATTTGTGGCTACCTTGAATGTAAACAACAAATTGATTCAATGAGTGAAACACATGAAGATATTGCATTTTTGTAGGGAAGTTTTATACATTGAGGTGCATTTTCACCACGCAGAAGCGATTAGCGGGCCATGTCACACAAGGCTAAGAAGAAAATATTCTAATCAATAATTTAACATTTTTCCCACATGCCTATAACAATGAAACTACACAGAATTGTAGTCAAAGGTATGCTTGGAAGATATGTAAAATAAAAATTGATTTTTTTTTTTTTTTTTTTTTTAAATATATTTACGAAAATTGCTATTACTACCAACTGACTGCTGTTGTGTGTGAGTGTGTGCATGGGGCAGACTTTGTACACAGGTAGTGTGATCACCCTAGTAAGAGGGTACTTTTTGGGGGGGAGGGGGGGGGGGGGGTCACGAAATTTGTAAATTTGACAGGTCATCTGTTTAGGTCAGCCATTGGTATATATATAGATATATACATATATATATTTTTTATTATTATTTTTTTGATAAAACAAATTCATGAATTGTTTGGGCTGGGTGGGGGGGGGGGGGGGGGGTCACACCCCTGTTTTTCAGTGCATTTTTGTCAAATTTAGTGCTGATTTTAACATATTTTTTGTTGGGGCGGGGGGAGGGCACGTGCCCCCTGTGCCCCCTGTGCCCCCCCCCTGGACCCGTCCCTGAGTGGTCAATATTTCCTTGGGGGCTCTCAGGTTTGACTGTATTTGTAATAAATTGCTTGTTTTGTGTTGTAAGATGAACACAGTCATTTAAAGATCATCAAATATAGGAGTGGAAGATCACAAATCGTTCATTAACTTATCACTATAATTGCATTCACATAAACACATAACGTATTCTAATCAGAGGCGGCGGATTATAAGCACATTCTCATAACGGAAGAAATTGTTCTTAGTCGCTTGAAAATAGGTGCACGTTTAATGGTGAGAGGAAAAGGGAACACTAATCGAAAGGGTTAGGACACCAATTATAAAAGAAAAGGAGCACGTGTAAAAAAAGGCTATTTATCAGAGTTGAAAATGGGGCACTTATTACATCTAAAGAAAGAGGCAGGCGCACCAGGGATGAAAAGGGATTCTATGAACATGGGAAATGGGCATTTGTCGACGGAATAGAGACACCCATCAGATTTTGATAGGGGCATTTTTACGAAGTGAAAAGGACCATTTATGAAAAGGGATAGGTTCCTTATAAGAAGGGAAAATGGGGCACATAATTTTGTTAAAAGGGGCACTTATCGCATCTGAAAAGGGGCACTGGCCATGCTTGAAAAGAGGCACTTATGAGAATTAAAAAGGGGCACTAATGATATAGGGAAATATGCATTTGTTGAACAAAAAGGGGCGCCGATCAGATTTTAATAGGGGCATTTATCGGAGGTGAAAGGGGGCTTTTATGAGAAGGGGAAGTGGCTTTTATTAAAAAGAAAACGAGGCACATGTTAAGATAAACGGGGCACTTATCAAAGATGAAAAGGGGTAATTATTAGAAGGGGAAGGGGCACTTATAAGAAGGGGAAAAAACATTTATTAGGAAGGAAAAGGGAATCGTGTCAAAATAAAAGTGGCATTTATAACAGATGAAAGAGCACTTATCATGAGGGGAAGGGGCAATTTTTACAAAGGAAAAGAGAACTTGTCAAAGCAGAAGGGGTACGTGTCAAAATAAAAGGGGCACTTATCAGAGGTATAGAGCAGGAAGGGCACTTAAAAAAATAATAGGGGCACTTGTCAAAGTAAACCGGGCACTTTTCCTTTGTAAGAAGGGGCACTTCTTACAAAGTAAAAGGGGCATTTTCCTTTGTAAAAAGGGGCACTGTTGGGGTACTTGAAAACGTGGGGGCACTCTGCCCCCTACCCCCTGGGAGCGCCGCCTCTGATTCTAATACGACTATGGTTTGAGAACTTAGTGACTATATGATGTAAATATGACTTGGTCAATTTAGCGCCCTACGCAAAACCAATTTGTAAATTCAGGTTTGATGGTAGTGCTGAGAAAGTTACACATTTAAGACATTTTACATCTCCGTAAAGTCTTGTTTAAAACTTGCTTTACCGAATAACTAAATGAGTTCAATTTTCTTTCTTTTTCCCCTCAACATATCTTTCTCATATTGATTGTAAACTCTATAGATGAAACCATCTACTCGTTAAAGCTTCTTGGTGAAAAGATAAATGAAGGAACACTTCTTACGGCGTCCCGCTCCAGTCCTAACACGTACGTGATGGTACATCAAGATCATTGGAACATGAACCTATTCCAATTGGCATGTCAGTATCTAGGGTTTGAAGGTAAGACATTATCAATATCATATTAATGGCCTTCCATTCTTTTCTATTATCAGTTATTCTTTTAATAGCTGATATTGCTATTTTCATTTTTGGTTGCAAGTTTGTTCAGGCTTTACAAAATATGTGAGCCATTACCTTCCCCTGCTTCTATTTTCAGCAATCTTTCCTGATAATACATAAATATATTTCTCTACAGTTATCCTTTCTGGATGATTATGTTACCAATACATTGAATTTGCCTCTTTCTTATTGTGTTGAAAAGTCTTGGTTTTCTAAACACTTCTTAATTTGATACATAAAACTTTCATCAGTTGGGGATGATGGTAACATGTAGTTTTTAGCTTCTACCAACCTTAAATTTGTTATGCAAGCTTTCGTCCACTCCTGTGGACTTTCTCAAGCTAAGTGATCAGGCTGAGTCACACGTTTGCTTCGCCGCACTGCCTGGTGTCCTGTGATCACTGGACCAAAGATCGGAGACAATAGGTATCCAGACTCCCTATTTAGTAGTGGATTAATTATCTTAATCCATATGGACTCTTTCACCTTTCTTGCCCAGAAGTTACTTTCAAAGTCTATTATGAGGGCATCCTCCCATCCAATGTTATGTCCTGTGTTGAGGGCGTGTAAAGCTAATGCTGAATGGGATGGGTTGCTCAATCTGAGGGCTCTTTTGTGTTCTTTTAGACGCTCATTAAGAGTTCTACCAGTTTCCCCCAACATAAGAATTGTCACAGTCTGTGCACGTGATCTTGTACACAATACCTGTCTTTTCCTCTCTTAGGATTTTGTCCTTTGGGTGGACCAACCTACTTCTTAGTGTGTTAGGGCTTTTGAAGGCAACACTGATGTCCTTGTCTTGGAATGCTCATTTCAGGCGAGAGATATAGTGTTGACAAAAGGAAGGACTAATCTGTTGTTCACTTCTTCCTTTTTTTTTGGGGGGGGGGGGGGTCTTAATTCTTATTCTGTCCTTCGCTCTTTGTCTCATCCATGCTGTGTATCCACAAGACATAAGCGCCTTGTCAACATGTTGGAATTCACTCTGTAGTGCATCATTGTCCGAAGTTACATTTTGAGCTCTCAGATACAATGAGCTAGCAACTCCAACCTTTGTGCTGAGGGGGTGATCTGATTCGAAGTTCAAATAAGAATCAGTGTGGGTTGGTTTTGTACACAATACCTGTCTTTTCCTCTCTTGGGATTTTGTCCTTTGGGTGGACCAACCTACTTCTTAGTGTGTTAGGGCTTTTGAAGGCAACACTGATGTCCTTGTCTTGGAATGATCGTTTCAGGCGAGAGATATAGTGTTGACAAAAGGAAGGACTACTCTGTTGTTCACTTCTTCCTTTTTTTTTTGGGGGGGGGGGGTCTTAATTCTTATTCTGTCCTTCGCTCTTTGTCTCATCCATGCTGGGTATCCACAATACATAAGCGCCTTGTCAACATGTTGGAATTCACTCTGTAGTGCATCATTGTCCGAGGTTACATTTTGAGCTCTCGGATACAATGAGCTAGCAACTCCAACCTTTGTGCTGAGGGGGTGATCTGATTCGAAGTTCAAATAAGAATCAGTGTGGGTTGGTTTCCTGTACACGGTGATGGAAACTGACAGGTCGTCGTTAACAGAGACCTTTGTGTCCAGAAAGTTCAGTGACCTTTGAACCTCTTCCTCAACGGTGAACTTTATGTGTTGGTCGATGTTATTGATGAAATTAGTAAATTCGTCAATATGCTGATGATCAAAGATAACAAAGGTGTCATCAACGTACGTCCACCATATCCTAGGGGGGTGAGGGGCATGGGAGAAAACCTCTTCTTCCAAATGTTCTAGATATAAGTTGCAAACAACTGGGGAGATAGGTGAGCGGATAGGTGTTCCATGTGTTTCCTGGTAAAGGTTGCCATTATAAATGAAATAAGTATTTCCAAGGCAAAGTCTCAACAGATTGCCGATTTCAAATGGGCTCAAACCTGTTCTATCATTAAGGGTTTTGTCCTCCTCCAATCTTTCTATTACAATGTCCACAGCTTGTTTGACGGGAACACTAGTGAAGAGTGAGCTAATATCATAGCTCACCAGTTTCTCATTTACTAATAGCAGGCATGATTTTACTTTTTCCACAAAATTAGAGGTGTTCACGATATGTCTGTTTGTACCGCCAACAATTGGTTGAATTATTTCGGCAAGATATTTGGCAAGGTCATATAAGACAGAGTTAACGGAGGAGACAATGGGCCGTAGTGGCACGTTGTTAATAGGGACTTTTAGAATGAGTGGACGAGAACACGACGAAGGCGACTGATCATGCGTGTCAACGTACTTAACTGCCCATGTTGACTACAATTAGAAATTTTTTAGATTGCACTCGACGATATACAATCATGCATGCAGGAAGTAACTTTATGAACATCACGGACAAAGAAAGAGGACAAAATATACAGTTCCTCATTCTACCCTCAACAAAAGAACATCCCTTCACTGCTATTATGTAAAAATGTGTAGAACAGGTGAATATGCATGTGACACCTGTTCTACACATTTTTACATAATAGCAGGGAAGGGATGTTCCTTTGTCTACCTGAGGAACTGTATATTTTATGCGCACGCGGCATACTAGTACCTTGAGCATGTAAAGGCGCTATATCAATATCAATATGTATGTATGTATGTACTAGATTTAGGAAAATCAAGGTTGACGCATTCTCGATCGCCGACTGAGACGTCGTAACGCATGCGCAGTGCCTTAAAATGACGTCACACGTTGCAGTCAAAGCTGTCAACGTGCAAATCTAAAAGTCCCTATTATGAATCTTGGGAAGACCATAAAACCTGGGGGTAGTGCATGGACATGAGATGGAGGGAAAGACACGTTTGTAAGTCTTTTCTTCAATGTGCCCTTTGTTCTTAAGTTCCCTTAGAGATTTGGATAATGTCAATTTTAGCTTGTTAGTGGGATCCCTCTTGAGTCTCGTATACGTCTTAGTGTCTGACAGCAAATGTTCTGCTTTCTCCTGGTAGTCCTACTTGTCCAAGATAACTGTGGCTCATCCTTTGTCAGCTGGAAGAACGATAATATCTCTTTCCTTAGCCAAACTATTAATTGCTAAACTATCAGTTCTAGAGAGGTTTGGTCTTGGGGGTTTGGCAGATTTCAAAATGGTGGCAACCTCAGACCGGAGAGAACACAAAAGAACACAAAAGAGCCCTCAGATTGAGCAACCCATCCCATTCAGCATTAGCTTTACACGCCCTCAACACAGGACATAACATTGGATGGGAGGATGCCCTCATAATAGACTTTGAAAGTAACTTCTGGGCAAGAAAGGTGAAAGAGTCCATATGGATTAAGATAATTAATCCACTACTAAATAGGGAGTCTGGATACCTATTGTCTCCGATCTTTGGTCCAGTGATCACAGGACACAAGGCAGTGCAGCGAAGCAAACGTGTGACTCAGACTGATCACTTAGCTTGAGAAAGTCCACAGGAGTGGACGAAAGCTTGCATAACAAATTTAAGGTTGGTAGAAGCTAAAAACTACATGTTACTTCTTAATTTTTTTTTTTTTCACCATGATATATTCATAATTTTACTCAAGAACCGTGTCTCTATGGCCTTTAATTTTCTCTCAAGCTCTTTGATTATTGTAACTATTGCAATTGGTTCATTCATGAATACCTTTCCAATCTGATGGTACAGTGTACCCAAAGTATTTGGAATGTGGACTTGCTTTATTTTTTCCCTTTATTTTTGAGATTCCATGGAGGCAGGCGCGTACGAAGGGGGAGGGTTTTGGGGGTTAAACCCCCCCTTTGGTATTTTTATGTGTGTAAACCCCCCTAAGAAATCCCTAAACCCCCCCCCCCCCCATTTGGATTTTTTTTTTTTTTTTTTTTATTATTTAAAAAAAAAAAAAAAAATTACCCCCATGGCTGACCTAAGAAAGGTGACCTTACCCCCCCCAACGGAGCAAAATGTCAAATTTTCAAAAATCGAGACCCCCCCCCAAAAAAAAAGTGTCCGCTAGTTGGAGATTTTAATTCCATTTTATAGTTGAAATTTCTCCCTCTTCAACCTTAATCCTTCTCTTATCCTTTCCAGTTTTCCAAACGCTTGTTTCGGGAGCCTGCCCAAAATTATGTATGGTGTATGTCATCCCAAAGCAGTTCTTGTGGTACCCGATAAAGTAAATATTAGTGTTGTGGTTTTTTTTTTTTCTTCAAAATATTATTGTGACTACTATGGTATCCTACTTTTTACTTCACCTTTATTGAACAAGGAGTATTTGCGATGTTGAGCGGTCCACTTTACAATTCCTCGTCCGTCGATGCTCCAGTTGAAGCAAAATCTGTGATATGCCCTGCTAATGCCACAAACATCACCGACTGCTGGTACAGTGAGACTAGAGTGGGACGGATAAACGAGAGTGAAATTGTTTCCATTGTGTGTTGCCCCGGTGAGTTATAATAATATTGATACTATTATTAGTAACCATGAATTTAAAAAAAAATACTACAATAATGGTAATATTAATTCTATTAAAAATGATAATAATAATGATTGTAATAGCAATAATAGAAATCATGATGATGGTGATGATGATGATAATAATAATGATAATAATATACAGTAGGTTTGTGGTTGCATCATGTGAGAGAGAGGGAGGATGATAATATGACTTTTGCAAACAGGGTTGAGATGGAGTCACTTCATCAGTGAAACTTTATCAAAATGAAAACGTGTTCAACATGTACAGGTATTATAGGATTTCCCGGCCAAATTTGCGAGTTTGTCATTCGAATTCATTTGTCTTGCGTTCAAATTCGATGGTTTTAGTGCTGTCGGGTATATCTCGGGTTTTTATTTCTTTGTCTATATTTCAAATCTATGAAGTTTTCGTTAAAATCTATGTATGTTTCATTCAGATTAATGAACAAAGTGATTATTTCGCTATTTGGTCATTCGATTTAGCGCAACACGATTGTCTGACATCGCGACGGTGTACTTCTAGCATTCTAATTCATTTGTTGCATTCAAATTAGCACTTTATGCACTTAAATTGATGGCCAATATATATTTCTCGTTTCTTACACACTTTTCATAGCTCATTTTTTTTCTTTCAAGATTGCTTTTTTATGTGTATTTCATCATATTTTAGTTTATGGCATTTATACACTTATACTTATTAGATTTGTCTGATATTCATCGGCATTTAAGTTTGATTGTTAAAGATAAACTCCAGTACTGGTAAAAAAAAAAAAAAAAATTCTCACAGAATCAAACGAAACTTACACTGAATGTTCAAGATTACAAATAAATGACATGTGCCAAACAATTTTGGAAGAAAATGTATACTGGCTGAGTAATGAGCATAGAAAGACAAGGAAACCAAGGTAGTACCATCCCCGACACCATGTGTGTTGTCCCATATATAGATTTCTATGTGAGTGTTTGTTACTTTACCAAGACTCGGTCAAATTTATTATGATTTTGATGACTCCAGAACCTTGCAGTGCACACCAATACTTACATGCTACATGATCAACTGTTTCTGATCCTTTCACACCTTTTCTTTCACAATGCAATCGCATTACCAGTACTAAAGTTTATCTTTAAGGAAAAAAATATATACTTGCATCTGCGGACGTAATGGTCTCAATATGTTTATAAATGTTCATGAAAGGAAGTTGTTTTTCTTGTGTTTTATCATAAATTTATCATAATTTAATCATAATTTCACTATGGAGGACGTGTACAATATATAGGGTAGAGACTAGAGTCACACAATTTTTGAGCATGATTCATCATTTTAACCAAGTCTTTAGCCATCGATCTGCTGGCGGGCAAGGCATTGGGGGATGTAGGTTTTCATTCTGCGATACCATCCCATTCATTTCTGCTGTGTGATGGCGTCGACGTTCCTCCTGGCTATACGACAAACGATGTCTACTCGCCACCTCTCCATCGTCGGTCCTGCGTGCTCAGCAGCTTCCCGATCGCATATCGCCTGCTGTATTTCAGGACGTGCCAAATCCCTCTGAACCCTGGATTTAAATGCAGAGTGTGCGTTCTCGGTGAAGTTGAGGAACGGAGAGTAGGGAGGCAGGAGCTTAACCTGGATGACTGGCTCAACGTCATGCGGAAGCTGAGCCCTCACGTGCGGTCTAGCGTTGTCGTATATCAACACAAGGAGGAAATATTATGGCACACTGGCGTGCCGTTTCGGCGAGGAAGTCCTCAAAGCTGGCTCTAGTAGTTGTCTCGCATGCAATGTCGTGGTGCACTAGGCCTACCTCCCCTGAAACCGCAAACGTAACATTGCATCTCTTGCCACGTTGCCCATTAACAACCGGTTGACCGCGGGGTGCCCTGCCAAAGGATCGACGAGTCAAGATGTTATAGCCGGTTTCGTCAATGAAAACTGTGGGCCACCACGCCTTCTGCCAAAAACCACTGGCACATCTTCAGCCAGTTTGAGGGTAATAAACATACCATCTAGAGCTCGTGATATGGTCGAAATGGAAACTGCTGGCTTATGCGGCAATGCCGCCTCCATATCTCTCTTCATTTGCCGGAGGTTTAATGTCAACAATGTTTTGAAGACGAGCTCTCATCTCGTCGTCTATTTTCTGGTTTTTGAAACCTCCCCTTGCCATCTTATGTCGCCAGCCGGTCCGTGGATAAGTCGCCACGATAGATCTGGCAGTAGACCGCTTAATGCCCAGTGTATCGGCCAGCTCTAGACAGTCAGCTTGGTGACCCAGTCGCTCTCGGTCCTCGTCAGATATGCGCTTATATATTAGGTGACCTTACATGGCAAAGTGAAATGGCGAAGTGACAAGTAAACTATGAAACTGTTTTGAGAAAAACAGAGGGGTGTGCTAGCTAGTGTAAAGGACGATGTGAAATACTTGTGTAACATTCCAAGTCTGTATTCAAAAGGGGCGATTGGGGGTACCCCCACCATTCCTGGGTATATAAACATGTCCGTGCAGAAATGCCATTTCCCTTGATTTCGCCCCTTCTTTACTTAATGTCTGACTTTACCCATATGCATTGCCCTGAAAATGAATAAATGGAATAACAGAATAGACCCCAATGGCAGGTCATGCATTTTATTTTATTTTTTAAACTGTAAACGTGTGTTGCATTTCTTCCCCCTAATATTCCTAACTTGAATAAAAAAATATTTCGAATACGAATGACAGGTGTTAATTTGAATGATAAAACTGACGCCTCGACAAGTGTAGATTAATTTGAATGCTAGTTGAGCAGTTTCTAAATTGAATGACCGATCTATGAAATCCTTCGACCAAAATCCTAAAATTAAATACAAAATCGGGAAAATTGAATGATAATTGGCATGGCAAAGCTGATCTCCGCTAACTTAAATGCAAACTAAATGAATTCGAATGACAAACTCGCGAATTTGGCCGGGAAATCCTATATTAAAAAACGGAAATACATTTTGATTGGCAATATCTTTAAAAATGCTCGACCATCCTCAATACATATTGATTGATAACATGAAGTAGTATCCACTAAATATAGTGATCCTGTGCAATTCAAAATAATGCCAGCGAAAAATACGAACTTACGATCATTCTTTTATGAAACCAGCATTTTCCAACTCTTATTATTAAAGGTTTTGCGGCCAATCTCGCATTCTTTTCATTCAAAATCACGAACGTCCATTCAAATTCACATAGAGGTCGATCGCAGTTGAATTTGGGCATTCAATTTCAAAACCCGCGCAATCAATTTAATATTATTATCGGCAATCTTATTCTTGTTCAGTGAAATCAAATTCACGAATGTGCGTACAATTTCCTACTTCGTGCATTCAAATTAACGCGGCGATCACGATGAGCCTGTTTGGCGCATCAAGTTTATTTTTCGGTGATCAATTTCCTACTACGTGCATTCAATTTAGTTTAATATTGAGAGGGATTCCAGATAACACGGACACTTTGATTTCTTTAAATCGATTACTTGGAATAATTGTTAATCACTGTTAAAAATGAGATCTCCACAGTTTAGTTAATGTTCTTTGTTTATGAAAACTGCTGCCTTTTGATCATGTATTTGATGATCACATATCTAATTATATATACACATATACACATAATTACCCAGTACTACACATTTCATTCAATATATATATACATATTCGAAATAATTGGAAACATTTATATTGTTTTAAAACATAATAAATAGTGATTTGGAGGTGATGTCTGCTATATAGTACTGCAAAAACGCATTTTCCCTTCATTCAAAAATATATCTGTCACCGCAGCTGTTATTTTTCGTTCAAATTCGTTTTTTAGCATTCAAATTCCTTAAAACGATCATTCATGAACATTTTATTTTCATTCGATTTAAAACGTGTTTCTTTTTCGTAAAATTTTCATTTAATTCAAAGCGAGACGATTCGCAATTACGTAATAGCGTCTTCCGTGAATTCAAATTCGTTTCTTTGCATACAGTTTCACACGTTTTGCAGACAAATTAAACATGCAAATCTTACCCAGTATGATAATAATAATAATAATAATAATAATAATAATAATAATAATAATAATAATAATAGCCTAATAGTCCACTCCAAATTTTATTAAACCGAAACGGAAATTTATTTTGCCCAACTGATCGTGAGCCTGGCAGCCACTGAGCAGCGCCAGATCGACGTTGCTCTATTCCTTTATTGTTGAACGCCAAACAAGGTAGCAACAACTCCCATATTTTGGTATGACGCGGCCGGGGTTCGAACCCACGACCTCCCAGTTGTGAGGCGGACGCTTTACTGACTGAGCCAACACTTCGCAAGCTTAGTTTCATGCTAAATCCATTTCAAATTGTATGGGTTGGTAAGCAACAAACATGTTATTTGTCCTCACTATGGGTGTATATATATATACCCATTAAATCATCACTGTTTAGCAACTGAACGAACATGGGTTAAGTAGATAAAAAAACTAGCCACATTAATGTAGAATTATTTATTGGAGTGGTGTACCATAATGGTGGGGGTATCAATACTCTATACATTCATTTATTTGTAATGTATTGTTTGGTCTTGATAATTAATTTGATGTTCGTAATCTCTTTGAAGCCATTTATATTTGTGTAAATTATATTTAGTCTGTATTGAAAATGTCATGAAGAATCAAAGAGTATCAGTTCAATCACAATCATAATTAAATCAAAATCTGAATCACCATCACACTGAATCACAATCACGATCGTGATCACAGTCAAAATTACCATCTCAGTCACAATCGTAATCACCATCTCAATTACAATCACGATCACGATCACATACAGTAACAAGCACAATCACGCTACACAATCATTACAGAGTTTGATACATTGTTTTCTCACTGCGCGCACATCTCAATAACTCATGTTTTGTGGACATAAACTAAAGAATACACGTTTACAATCTGAAATCTTGTT